AATTGGACTTTCTCCAGAACCTTGACTATCTTTAGAGTCTGGATCACCATCAGAGTCAGAGCCACTACCTTCAGAAATACCATCTTTGGATCACCTCTGCCTTCAGAAGTTCCACTTTCAGAATCATGATCATCGCCAAAGGCTGAATTTCCTTCAGAAGCTCCTCCTTTAGAAGTTCCACTTTCAGAATCATGATTTCTACCAGAAATATGACCATCTTTAGAATCTTGTCCTCCAGAACCTATGTATTTAGAGTTTTTCCTTCTAGAAGCATGATCACCACCAAATTCTGGATCATCATCAAAATCTGGATCAGAATCAGATTCACCATCTGATTCACCTTCAGAGTTTCCAGAGTCATCATCTTCTGACTCTTCTTCAGAAGCAGAATCTTCTTCAGACTCAGAATCACCTTCGGATTCTGACTTGTCTTCAGCTTCAGAGTCATCTTCTGACTCTAACTCGTCTTCAGAAACATCAGATTCTGACTCATCTTCAAAATCTTCGGCGTCATCTTCTGATTCTGACTCGTATTCAAAAACCTCAGATTCTGACTCATCTTCAAAATCTTCAAAGTCGTCATCTGATTCTAACTCCATCATATTCTGATTCTGACTCATACAAAATCACTCCTTCAGAATCAAAATATTCAGAGTCATATTCTTCTTCTTCCCCTTTAGAATAAAAAAATGACAATTTCACTGGTTCCTCATCAGATTCATAAGCCATAAATAGCACATGTTCATCATCTGAATCTCCTCTGGCCACATTTACTTCTTTTGACTTCCTTTATTTGTTTGACCAGCAATCTTTGGCATAATGACCAAAGTTCCTGCAACAGTAACATTGAACATTCTTCTTGTCAGAATTCTCCTTTCCCTTCTGGACATTCTTCTGCCTATCAGAGTTTGAAGCTTCTGACCTTTGACCACCATTAGTTTTCTTTCTGGCTTCTGACCAAGTCTGCTTCTGATTCTTATTACCAGAAGTTACCTTCAGAGCCCGCTGCTTTACTTCCCTCTCAGAAGTTCTTGCAGTCATACGCAACTCATGCGCCTCTAGACTACTTTGCAGCTCTTCAACTCTCATGGTGCTCAGATCTTTGGAATGTTTAATTGCTATCACAATGTAATCAGACTGAGAAGTTAAAGATCTCAAGATCTTCTCAATGATTACTTGTTCAGAAAGGGTTTCTCCACAAGCTTTCATCTCATTAGTGATCATAATCACTCTAGAAATATACTCAGAAACCTTCTCGTTGTCCTTCATGTTGAGATTATCATATTGCTTTCTGGGAGACTGAAGCTTCACCTTCTTCACTGACGCGTCACCATCGTAACATCTGACCAGTGTGTCCCATGCAACCTTTGTTGTTTCAAAATCATCAATCTTCCTAAACACATTCACATTCACACATTGATGGATGTAGAACAACACCTTCTGATCTTTCTTCCTCAGCGCCTTCTGTGTTATCTTCTGGGCCTCTGTTGCGCCTGCTTCTAACAAATTATAACCATCAGTGACAAGATCTAACACATCCTGAGAACCAAATAACAGGCGCATCTGGATCTTCCAACGATTCTAGTTTTTGTCATCAAATACTGGAAGCTTGGAATGAATATCGCCGCCGTTCCCGTTCATCTTCTACCTTTGAGCAATTTACGCAGAGTTTCCCAAATCAATGTTCCTCAAAACCCCATAATCAGAATATTGTAATTCTTAATCACAATACTTCTTTTTCCCGTAGAAATTGAACCGGAGCTCTAGATATCAATTGTTGGGGGGAGATACTAGGAGCATTGATACATAGTGTAGGACTAGACACCTTTGTGAAAGACACACCACTTATCCACCTAAAACTTTAAGATGATAGGTGAGTGAGTTTTATCATTTATATATGCTTAAGTCTCCACATTCCTATCCAATATGAGACTATATCCCCACTTACTTGCTATATTATTCTAGCATTTACAAGTTAACTTCCAAAAATACGGTACAACTTTGAACTCCTTTCTTATTATTAATTGTAGAAAATATCAAAAGTATATTTGAAAAAAATGTTAAATATTAGAATATATGTGCGGAATTAACTGCGAAATATTATGACGAATGATTGTTTTTGTTTGAATTTTCATATACTTTTAATAATATTTTAAAATTCATACCAATTATTTACTCGATTAAGCTATTGAATTATCATATAATTATCAGACCAATGAATCACTGATTAGACATCATGATTATTATTAATTTAAAAATATAATTTTTTAATATGATTATTTTAAAACCTTTTATTAAATTGTATAATTAATTTTCTAATTTTTTATTTATTCAATTAATATATTGAATAATTAATAAATGCTGATAAATTTAAAATCTATAATTCTCTTCTCTTTGATCAAATTATAATATAATTAGTAAAACTATAATTTTAATAATTTTAAAAAATTATAAATCAGATCCTTAAAATTTGACAATTTTTTTATTTTAATATTATTTAATTATTATAATTATAAATTTTAAAATAAGAACACTTAAACTTAAGAAAAATGAAAATATGAAGGTCAAAATTATAGTTAAGTTGAAAAAAATAATCAATTCATCAAATTAAGAAATTCGCCAACTCACTGATAAAACCAATAAATCAATGGAGTTTACTGCTCAGTTACAAGTACAATTTGATGATTTTATCAAACTATTTTACCCTTTAGTTTACGTGCTAACTAATATGGGAAAGTCCAGGTTTTAAAATATTGTTTTTGAAAAATATTAAGCGTTTTACTTGGTTTAATTACGTGTCAGGGCTTTTAATCCATCATTAATCAGTGTGATTAATTAAGTCGTGTGCATTGTGTTGTTTTTTAGCCTAGAATTGACTAAACTTGCAAATAATCTTGTCTTGTTATATTACTAGTGCGAGGCATAAAACGCGTTATTTGCGCAGCCCGTGTTCAACGTTCGCAAGTGCCTTAGCGTCTTTTATTGAACTTCTTGTTACCGTCGTTGAAATGAAATTCATTTCATCTAATCTACTTTACTAACACCCTTAACTAGCTGGATGATAGTAACCCCTTTTTGTTCTTATTAACCACTTACATACCTTGCAATAGTATTTATAACCTAAATGGCACTACGAAACACTACACTGACACGTTGATATCAATAAAAATTTGAATCAGTATCCGTTCGAACATCAATACTAATACAAATATACATTTTCTCGGACTTCATAACTCAAGTTTACTATACAACAAATATTAATTGAGTTTGAACACAATTATTTAGAAAATATGAAAAATATCTATAGGGCCATTCCTACAATTTGAAACGGTACATAGTATACACTACTATTGTTGAAGAAAGCCATGGACTCTTCTCATCTACTTGTCTCCTATGGAAAAGACTGTCCATGTGACCTCTCTTTACCTGTCCTTTGACTCTGTCCCTTTGAGCAACCAGCATAACTGTTATAGAACATGGCTACAAACATTTTTAGTATGCAACTGTGCTCTTTTGCTTGTTGACACCATTTTCTTAGATCTTCTAAGATGCAAAGTTGAGACAAAAGTAGTTATAGTTTGGTAACAACAAAAGGACTTTTGTTAAAAACCTTTACTACAACAAAAATGACACTAGAGGTATATGCCATTAGCTATAAGCCAAGAGAAAGGAAAAAGAAAGATGTTTAAAAATGCTATTAGAAATTGAATTATCATAACTTGTCTAAGAAAAGCTTTAATATATAATGATACATCACACCAACACTAGATTCTGATTCTGATTTGTGGACCCAACAACATGGATATAGCTTAAGGCCTTCACCCCCTTGGTTGTTAGCCATACCTTCTCCCAATATATCATTTTTAATTGTTGATGTGATCTTATAGTAGATCAATCTTTCTCAAATAGATTTTGAATAATTATTTAATCAAAGGTCGTTACACTCCTTGTATTTATGCACTCAGCAAATCAATAATTATTTATCAAAATATGTTAAGTTTTTATGCAATCAATAATTATTTGATGAAAATGTGTTACACTCTCGCACTCACTCACGCAAGTGCATCAATAATTATTTGATCAAAATGTGTTACACATCGCATTCACCCAAGCGGCGTATCAATAATTATTTGATGAAAATGTGTTACACTTATCGCATTCACGCAAGCGCATCAATAATTATTTGATCAAAATGTGTTACACGTCGCATTCACTCAAGCAGCGCATCAATAATTATTTGATGAAAATGTGTTACACTTATCGAATTCACGCAAGCGCATCAATAATTATTTGATCAAAATGTGTTACACGTCGCATTCACTCAAGCAGTGCATCAATGATTATTTGATCCAAATGTGTTACACATCACATTCCAGCAAGCTGCGCACATAAATGATTATTTGATCAAAATGTGTTACATTTCTCGTATTTACATATGCATCACATCTATAATTATTTGATCAAAATCGGTTACACTCCTAGCATTCACTCACCCTACACATCAATAATCATTTGATCAAAATATGTTACACTCCTAACATTCACTCAACCAACACCTTAATAATCATTCGACAAAATAGAACAATTTGAATTTAATACACAAACTCAAATCACTTGTTGAAATTTAATACTTTAGCTATATTACAAATATATTACAATGACCCTTTTCCTTTCACAAAGAAACAAAACTAGAATGTGAAAAGAGGAAAATGTCAAGCACAAATCTTTCACTCCCAAACATTATGAAAAGCCCAAAATCAAGCTCTGTTTTTTCTTCCTCCACCACTATACATAAGGTAGATTAGTACAATTCCACCTTGCTAATGCTAGCCATTAATGCTATTAATTAAAACTAACTAACCAGTAAACATATTATATATAAATTAAAAAGCTTAGTTGGTAAAAAAACATAGATCTGACGGTTGAGATTCCACAATAATAAAATCATAGTACTTGTTGAACTGAGTCAATAGTAACAGTGGTGGTAGGTACTAGGTAAGTCAATGGAGTACAATCCTCTGGTACTTGTTGTTATCTGCAGAAGGAGAATCAGAACCTTCAGAGAAAACCCTTTTTCTACTACTGAATCTTCCACAGTTAGTGTTCACAAAGGAAGAATCTTGCTGAAGAATTTGTTGTTGTTGTTGTTGTTGTTGCTGTGTCGGTGATGGAATTGTGACAGGTGGAATCTCAAAGGTCTCTAACGGTGGTGGAGGGTGTCTCCATTGAGGTAATGGTCCCGCAAGCAAAAGGGTCTGAAGCAAAGGACCAGCTTTCATCACTGCCTGCAAAAGTTTACCTTTTTCCGGCAAAGGTTTATCTTTTGCTATCAACTCAATCATCATCGTTGGTTGTTGTTCTGTCGGCGAGGAAACCGTGCTTTCTTCACAATCTGATGATGATAAGCCATTGTTGTTAGAAAATTCAATTCCTCGTTTGTGTTCATCTTCGACGCTTGAAATTCCAGACAGAGGATCTTGTTTTTGTTGTTTTTGATGTTGTTGTTGTTGTTGTTGTTGTTGGAAAAGCAACTTGTCTAAGAAAAGTCTTTGGCATTTTTCATGCGCTTCGTCTCTTTCTCTTATGACTTTGTTGAGAATGTCTTTTAGGTTGAGTAACTGTTCGTCTCTTTTTCTTAATTCTTCTTGGACTGTTGCTCTTGTTTGTTCAAGCTCCATTGTCGTGTAGATTAAGGATTGTTTTAGCTCCTCCATTGACTATGTCACAAAAATGGAACAAGGTTTATAAGATGAGAATTTTATCAAAAAAAAATTGTAATGAAAAGAAGAAGGTAGGTTAAGGTACCTTTCCTTGGCAGAAGTAAGCCCAAGTTAGAAGAGGGCTACGTTGTTGATTGTCCATGTTCTTGTGTCTCAAAATAACAATTTGTGTTGAAATTATGTTATGTTTCTTTTTTGGATTTTTGAAGGATTGTGTGTGAGAGAAAGACAAATGAGGATAGAGAAAAGGTGGAGAGGGAAAGAAGAAAGAGGAGTGAGAGAGAGAGAGAGAGACAGAGTTAGGAGGATTTTGGGGATGGTTGAATTGAAGTTGATTTATAAGGTTGTAAAGTACATGTATGCGATTTACTCCATGTTATGATTTTAATTTTAACATAAAAATGTTAGTACACGAGTCTCTACTATTTATGGAGCCAAATTAAGAACTGAAAACAGTGAATTCAGTGTTTTAAAACAGGACCAGTCAGTGGTTCCAATTGGAAACCAGCTAAGTAGTTCGGTCTGATTTAATTATTGGATTGTCTATATCGTTGAACCGATGCGAATCGATAAAAATCGGTATAAATTGGAAAAATCGGTGGTTCTCTTAAACCGGTGATTTAAGTATTTTTTTAAAAATTAAAACAACATTGTTTTGATTAATTTAATAAAAATAAAAAATAAAAGAAATAAAATAAAAAATAAAAATAAAAAATAAAGCAAAAGTAATGATATCATTGGCGGAAAAATTGTTACATATGGAGTTGATTTTACCGGAGATGATTTTAATATTAAAGAAAGAGATTTCAACATTGAAATAATTTTCCCTTCTTGAAACTAAATTTATTATATATTAGAGTTATTTTGTTATAAACTATTCAATTAGATTATGTTGCAATTATACTTTATTTGTAATTAGACTTTGTAAATTTGTACTGTTTTGTTATGTGCGATACCTATGTCTAAAATTTGAATTTAAATTATGAACTAATGAATTTATGATATGATATTTTGATAAAATTTAAGTGTTAGTTATATTTTGTAGAGACTAAATCATCTTGTTCGAATGACTTTATACCTATATAGTTTTGTTATAGTCAGTGGTCTAATCAGTCGAGTTATCCAGTTTAATCTGATTTAGTCATGCGGTTCGACCGGTGATCCAATGATTCAACCAATAAATCAGTGACCCAATATTCTCACCAGTTTGATAATCGATCCGATTTTTAAAACACAGAGTGAAATAATAGAGCTATATATGTTTTTTCTTATTTGTTTAACCTCCCTTTCTCAAATAAAAGATCTTACATACACTATTTTCTTTTTTTTTAACCTTCCTTTCTCAGATAAAAGATTTTAGAGCATCTCCAATAGAAAAACTAATTTTGATTGCTTGAGTTATTTTATGTGAGACTAAATTGTCACATTATATTTAAGCAACACCTAAGCAATCTAAGCTAATTTTACTCCAATGGTGATTTCAATAATAAGCAATTTATATTTTACCCAATCAATTCATATTTGTTCCCACCAATTATCAAAATTAATATTATTTAATAATAAGTAACACATTTTTTAAAGTTACTTCAACAAGCAACGGACAAAAAAAAATAAACAACAGAACTCCACATAGATATGCTCCAATCGTAGAAAAATTAAGATCCAGAACTTATATGTCCATGTAGACAATAAACTCCCATTGGAGATGCTCTAATACACTATTGAATGGGAAAATCTAGGAATGTGACAATAAAAAACAGTGATAGCCTTTCAACTGTAAAATAATGATAATGACCAAATTTAAGAACGACAAGCCACATGTAAATTTAAAAGTTCAATTATGTTGGAATTATATCAAATCTATGGAGAATTCTGAATCAATCTTGATGAACAAGAATCAATCAATCGATCGAATTCCTTATTGTTCGTCACTATTTACTCGAGTTAATCAACCAACTTTGATTGCAATATGATTCTGTTGTACAATTGATAATAAAAGAAGAAAAGAAAAAAAAAAGAATAGGGAAGAAATGAAGTTAGGGTTTATCAAAAGGAAGAAGAAGAGTTTCTGTAGAATTTCTCTCTGCTTCTCAAAGCTAAAACTTTTATTTTTTGCAACTGCTTGTCTACAACAATAGATGCTACTTCCTATTTATAGATTTTGAATTTGCTTGCTCCCTATAAAATTAGGCCTAAGTTGAAATCCATGTCGAAACTAACCCCTTCAACACTTCGACAACTACCCAACTCTGACCCACACTAGGCTATTTCAACATCAACTTGTTTTTATCGAGCAACCTACTTCGACACAAGGAATTACATTTTCAACACACCACCTCATTTATTGAACACTTTGACCCGCACACCATTCGTCATGATGTATGCAATCTGATTCTCAGTTTTGCAGTGTTCCAAGTTCAGCTTCGATTTTGCTACCTGCTCTTGAAAGGTAATGAAACTTCATTTCAATGTGCTTGCTTTGTCTATGTGCTATCAGATTCTTTGCCAGATTGATAGCAAACATGTTGTTGACCTTCTTGGTAATTTCTCATTGATCCTTTGTTGTAATCTCTTCAACCAAATTCACCATCAATGTTGCTTGACATGCACAAAGAGAAGCATCTATATATTCTACTTCACATGACGACAATGCTACTATTGGTTCTTTTCTCAAACTTTAACCACCTAACATAAACATATAGACAATTGTGGATTTCTATCCACAACATCACTACACCAACTTGAGTTGGTATAATCCACTAGCTTGCATTATTTTCCTTCATCAGCTACAGGAAACAGAATGCCATAGTCGGTAGTTCCTTTGAGATACATAAGCATCCTCTTTGTTGCTGCTAGATGTGATATCTTTGGCTTTTGCTTGAATTTACTTACCATACCTACGATGTATGCTAAGTCAGGCCTTGTGTGACAAAGGTATTTTAATTACCTAATAAGTCTTTTGTACTGTGTTGGGTCGAAATCATCTTCATATGAGTCTTTCGACAGTTGTAGTCTTGGTTCAGCAGGTGTCGAAGTCGAATTGCAGTCTTTCATCTCAAATCTCTTGATTATTTCACTTGTATATTTTCTTTGATGTATCATCAATACTCTAATACTCTAATAGAATTTGATAACAAGGAAGTATGAAATATTGCCCATATCAGACATTTTGAATTCCCATCTAAGATCACCTTTGAAGTCTTTGATCTCTTACTTACAGCTACATGTTATCAACAAGTCATCGATATAGAGACATAATAAGCAAATCACTCTTTCTTCTTCTTACATTAACTCCATACTTAATTGTGAACTTCACAAATTCCTTCTCCCTTAGGAAATTGTCAATCTTCTTATCCCACGCTCTTGAAGTTTATTTGAGTCTATACAAGGCTTTCTGCAGCCTGTACACCTTTCTTTCTTAACCTTGTTTCACAAACCCAGCTGGTTGTGAAACATAAATTTTTTCATCTAAGGGGCCATTTAAGAATGCACATTTCACATCCATCTGAAACATATTCCAATTGTTCATGTTTGCCAGACCAACAACCAACCTGATTGTTATAAATCCTAGCAACTGGTGCAAAAACTATGTCGAATTCGACTCTTTCCTTCTGAAGAAATCCTTTCGCCAAAAGTCTTGCTTTGTGTTGAGTTATTTCTCATTTGGGATTCAACATCACCTTGTATGCACATTTCACATCAATTTCCTTCTTGCCTTGAGGCAATTCGACAAGTGACCAGGTGTTGTTGACTTTGATGGACTTCAGTTCCTTATTCATTACTTTCATTCACTTCGAATCCTTCCATACCTTAGGTGTATTGACTGGTTATACATTTGCATAGAAAGCATAGTGTACCAGCTCACCTTCATCATTGACCACATCATCTAATGTAATCACACATTCCTGCAACCTTGCAGGCATGCGTCTTGTTATTTGAGGTCTTCTTGGGCCTGCTTGGTCTCTGACTTCTTTTTGTCGAACTTCTCTTTCAACTTCACTTGCTGGTTCTTCACATAAGATTCCAACTGAATACTTCTTTACATTTTCAGTCCAATCCCATTCCTTAAGCTCATCTATGATCACATCCCTATTGATCACTACTGCTTGTTTACTAGGTAAAACAATTTGTATCCTCCATTTGAATGATATCCTATTAGGATCATTTGAATCGACTTGTCATCAAGTTTTCTTTTCAACTGATCTGGAACATGTATACGTGTTATAGATTCAGATATCTTGAGATGACTCAAGCTAGGTTTGACACCAGGCCAACATTCTTTTGGCGTGATTCCTTCTAACTTCTTCGTCAGACATCTGTTCAAAATGTATGTGTAGCGGTAGAAATGTTCAAGACTAAGCCATTGGATTAACTAGACTTTATACAAATCAAAATAAAAATCGCCACCGCGCTTTATTGTTTCCAAAGGAATGGGAAAAGAGCGAATAACCCAAAAGAGGTGGAAAGATTCAAGGTAAGGGGGTTGGTTATACAAAGGAAAGGTATTAGCACCCTAAACATCTATGGTACTCCGCAGGAACCTCTCTATAAAATCTGTATATTTTGGCTATAAAATGTTGTATGTAAAATAGATGGTGGAGGTGAGGAAAGAAATATATTTTTTATGATTTTTGCACCCGCCGCGGTTGCGAACCTTTAGTGCCTACGTACCACCTTCCGTGCAATAGGGGACCAGGGTACACGTAGTTCCTCTTTTAAAAATTTGAAACAAAAGTGTGTTGGTTAATTTTATGAGATAAGACATCATCGTCATTATCCGTGTGGAAAACATACTTACTACCCACAATCATGAGAAAGGAGAATTTGCATCATCTCAAAGTGGAGGATATGACTTGGATTTTAAAATCAACAATGCCTCACTCAACACCCAAGTGGAAAATATCTCTCTTCACTACATATTGTAGAAGTATAGTTGTTTGCATCACTACAAGGATTGACAAGAGTCCAATATTTTTAGAAAAGTTTAAAGGTAAAATCCAAAGTGGCAAAATGGTTTGAAATGAGATTGATTGACTTTTAGTCTTCTCACAAAAAAATGTCAAGATATTATTAAGTTGTTTGGTGTTTATTGAAGAAATTTTTTTGAAAATGCATGGACCTAAGTCCAAGTTTATTATGAAA